TGGAACTCTGTTGAACTGCATCGTGTAAAAGCCATGGAACTGAGCCATATTCCTTCTGCACCACCTTCTGGAACTGGCCAGTCAGGAAGGAGTGGAATGACTGCAGAACAGAGCCTCCAACCCAGCTAGCCTATCCAGAAGTATACCGTGGTTGATGGTATTGAAAGCTCTGTGAGGTCTTGGAGAACTAACAGGGATGCACTCTCCCTGCAAAGGTCATCCCACAGGGGGACCAAGGCCATTTCAGAATTGAAATTAGATCTAAAGCTAGATTGAAATGGATCAAGATAGTCAGTTTCTTCAAAGTGCCTGGAGCTGCTAAGCCACCTTGCCCAAGAAGAGGATGCTGGCCACAGACCTATAGTTTATTTATGCATGTATTTATAGGCCGCCTATAATTGCCAAAGCCTTCCTAGGCAGCTTAGTTGCTATTACCCTTTGGCTCCAATGTTGCTTCCTTCAGAAGGGGCTTGATCACTACCTCCTTTGAAGGAGCTGGGACCAACATCTCCTTTTGAGATGAGTTCACGATCTCCTCGACCCAGCTACACACGCCACCTTGGCTTTGGTGACTAGTCATGAAGGGCAAGGATCGAGAGAACAAAAGGTTGGTTGAACAGCTTTGAGCATCTTGCCCACATCCACAGGTCTCAACAATTGAAACTTGTCCAATACCATAGGACTGAATGGTGCACTGGATGCCTCTGTTCTAGGGATTACATCAAATGTGAAACCCCATCTGTGCCAAATTTGAGCGACTTTATCCGCAAAATGCCACGCTGAGGTTCCACTTGGACAAGTTTGTAATAGTCCATGAACCACTTGGAACAGCTCTGCTAGGCAGCACTCCAAAAATGGCACTGCAAGGACACTGCCTTCACCTCCATGGAATAGGCTCAATGGTGAGCTTTAACTGTGTTCAGTCAGATTCCACACGGGTTTTCCTCCACCTGTGCTCTAGCCACCTACCCATTTGCTTCATTGCCCACAATTTAGCATTATACTGAGCAGACTCTGCACTGCAGGAGAAGGTGTTCAGAGGCAATGGTATCAATTGCCCAGGTCACTTCCGTATTCCACAGAGCAACCTAGACCTTGAGAGAAGCACAAACCATTGCAACTGGGAAATCCTCCAGGGCCCTCTGGAAGTCATCTGGATCTATTAGACTCTGGGGGTGGACCAATTTAATACCTCCCCTCCCTGCAGAGGGAAAGAGAGGTCCACATAATAAAACTCATTGGGAAGTGATCTGACCATGACAAAAGTGTAATTGCTGCATCCTCCACCATCAGATCACCATCTTCCTGTTCAGCTGAAAAGATCAGGACAAGAGTGTGACTGTTTTCATGTGCTTGCTTGGTGATGTCCTGTGATGTGATGCGAGCCCTTTGGTTGTCATGGTAGTAATGAAGTCCTGAGCTGCCTCTGCATAAATGTTGAGATCTCCAAGACAGGGGGTCCTCAATGTCAGAGACTATTTCCTTCAGCTCAGGCAAGGATCTGATATGTAGCAGGGTGTGTGGTACACTACAAAGATCCCTAATCTGTCTCGATTGCCCAACACACGGTATAAACACTCAATACCTTTTCATTGCCCCTGTGGATGAGAAGAGAAGTGGTAAGAGGCATTAGGTGTAAGAGGAACCTCTGTAGGAAAGTGGCTGGGGGAAGGACACAGTAATTATGGGAGATTTCAATCTCCCAGGTATTAGTTGGAAGATTCACTCAGCAGTGAGGGCCAGGTCATGTTGCTTCCTAGACACTATAGAGGGAGGGTTTTTCACACAGAGGGTCCAGGAGGTGACAGTGGGAGGGGAATATCCTTGACTTGGTCTTGATCAACAGGAATTATCTGATAGACAGAGTGCAGATTAGGGGAACTCTGGATGCGAGTGATCACTCCATCCTTTGCTTTGAGATCAAGGGAATGTGGATGAGTGGCAGGTAAAGTTTTAGAAGCTGGGACTTCATGAGGGCCAGCTTTGGTCCATTGAAGGCCAGACTGGGGAACATATCCTGGGAGAGGATACAGGAAGGCTAGGGAGTTCAGGAGGGAAGGTGTTGGAGGTGCAAACCTTGATGATACTTATTGGCAAGGTGGGGAGGTGAAGGAGATCACTGCCATGGATGAGAAGAGTGTCAGCTTATTGAGTTACCAAATTCACCACCCCCTAACCCACAGATCTTCCCTGGGAAGGCAAACTTCTAGGTGGAATATTAATGCTGTCACATAAAAAGCTTCGAAAATGGTCACCTTTTAGGAGTAAAGTCTGAAAATTACTGGGGAAATTATTCTGCATAATCTGGATATCCATATTTAAACCCACTGATACCAGTGTAACCAGACCTACACTCCCTCATCCCTTTGAGTGAATTTTAGTTGCAGGAACAGAATAAGCCCTAAACCAATGAATGTCGAGAATGTAGGGGTCCATGAACCGAGTTTCTTGTAAGCATAAAATATCAAAACTGTTGCCAATCTCAGCACCCCAAAACACCCCAAAGGTAGTTGGCCAGAGGGAGGCCACATAGGAAAAACACTACAGCCATATTGAATTTCCTGTCTCAGAAGTGAGCGGGGATAAGAACAAAATGAACTTTGTGGAACTCACAGCTAACAAGCTAGACTGACCTTGAATACAGTAATCAAAGGGACAGTGGAAACTGGTTATAGCTATGGCCATCTCCTGGCCTGACTTTGGCCACCCCTTGCAGGCCCTACCAACTTCCCCCACCTTATCTATCCTACACTACCCTTATCTGACTTTCATCAGCTTTCATCTCCCAGACAGAAAGTACAATAAAACAAAATGAAAAATCACAAACAATTACAAACAATGACCCAGGCAAAGAGAGTCCCCAGGCAGCCCTGGCCGCAGCTAAAGGACATGGACAATGGATGATGTGCATTGGTGCCACCAATGGCTGAGTGAGGCTTTAAAAGCCTCAGAGGCAGCTGGCCCCACCCCTCTGCCTCCTCCTGGGCCTCTCTAGTCCCATCGTCTCCACTCCTCTTGCCTGCCCCCATCCTCTGCCCAAGTTTCTACATAAAAACATAAGAAAAATCATGCTGGATCAGACCAAGGGATCATCTAGTCCAGCATTCCATACACACAGTGGCAAACTAGCTGCCCACAGGATCGCTCAAGCAGGACAGGTGCAAGGCCTCCACCTGCCCAAGCTCCTCACCAACCCCAGGCATGCCAGAGGAGTTGTGAAGGAAGTAACAAATAGCCACTAAGAGGCCACTGATAGCCTCTTTCTCCATGAATCTGTCCAATCCCCTTTTAAAACCATCCAAATTGGTGACTATCACTATTTCTCATGGCAGCAAGTTCCATAATTCAACTACAGTGGTGCCTTGTACTACAAACTTAATTCCTTTCAGGAGGCTGTTTGAACTCTGAATCATTTGAAGTCCGAATCAATTTTCCCCATAATGGAAAGTGAATTAATCCATTCCCAGACCCTAAACAATACCCAATACACTGAAAACAATAAAAAGGCACACACTGAAAAGGCACTGAGAACGATTGAAAACTTGGGTGCACAACAGATGACGTTTCCACAGTGATTGCTTTTTTTCACTGAATGTGCAGTTCGAACTTAGAAGCATCATTCGAACTTCAGACCGATTTTAGCATTCGAACTCTGGAACATTCAAACTTAGGGTTGTTCAAATTAGATAAAGCCCTATATGACTTGGGAGCACATGACCTGATGGAACGCGTCTCCTGACTGTCATCTGCTTGGACACCACAATCAAGATCTGCCTCCAATTTATTTTTTTTCCAATTTATACCCTGCCTTTTTCCTACAAGGGCTCAAGGCAGCTTACATCATTCTCCTCCTCCATCTTATCCCCACAACAACAACCCTGTGAGGTAGGTTGGGCTGAGAGTCTGTGACTGGCCCAAAGTCACCCAGTTGGCTCCATGGCTGAGCGGGGACTAGAACCCAGATCCTCTGAGTCCCAGTCCCATTCTCTTAACCACTACACCACACTGGCTGTCCCACTACACCACACTGGCCATCTCTGAGTGATGCTTGGTTGGTGGCAACAAGGAGAAGGACTTTTTCAGTGGTGACCCCCTCCAATTTTGGAATGAGCTTACTACAGAGGTTTGCCTGGGGTCAACCTTAATTTCTTTTCAGTGCCAGGTTTTGATTTTGATTTTTCGATTTATATCCTGCCTTTTTCCTACAAAGGGCTCAAGGCAGCTTACATCATTCTCCTCCTCCATCTGATCCCCACAACAACAACCCTGTGAGGTAGGTTGGGCTGAGAGTCTGTGACTGGCCCAAAGTCACCCAGTTGGCTCCATGGCCGAGTGGGGACTCGAACCCAGGTCGTCTGAGTCCCAGTCCCATGCTCTTAACCACTACACTACTGCAGGGCATTTAGTTCATTTATTGGGGCTATGCTAGATGCTTAAACAGGTCTTCAGTTTTGTTTTAAGTTATTTTAATTTGTTATATTTGTTTTACATTTGGTTTTAAATTTTTTTATAATTACTTTTGATGATGTTTTAATATGATTCATATTATATGCTATTTTTAAGTGTTGCTGTAAATTACCTTGGCTGTTGGGCAGTATAGAAATTAAATAAACAAACAACTCCAGAAACCACTAGCTAGACTACTTCATATATAAACAAATATTCACACTTTTACATATAACTTATGTAAATCCAACAGACCTGCATGCTTTAAAAATCTCTGTTGAATATAAAGAAATTTGTGAATTTTTATAAATTCTGATAAAAATGAACTGAAATTAAATTCTCATCCATCACTATCCTTCAGCTACATGGGAACCACTCTTGAAATATCCATTTGTTATTTATTTACTTCATCTATTAGTTGCTTGCCAAAGCTTATTTTTGCATTAAAAAAGTAAATCCAATAAAATTCTAAAAAGCATCTCTCATGGCTGGTGCTAGGCCTGAAGGGCATTTACATCAGTTGGTAGAAAAAAGTGTTACAGAGAGGAGCTTACCTTTTGAACTTACGAGGAGGCATAATATTTCCCTGCATGTCTAAAGGAGGAACTCGGCACTCACTTCGCAGTTTGAGTTGTTCACACTTGTTCATTTCTTTCTGTGTTTGCATCAAAACTCTTTGTTTATGTCTCTGATCCATAAACAGTCCTTCCCCTTCAATAAGCTTAATGTAAGTGTTGCCACCCAGGTATGAGGGAGGTGGGACTGGTGGTTCAGCCATTGAATTTTTTCTGGGACAGGTAATCCATCGCCATGTATTGCTGTCAAAAGGCTTGTCAGGTCTTGGACGAAAGATTGGTGGCAGCCTTCCTATATCCAGCCATGTATGGTATCCCCAGACATGCCAATGATCACCCTCTTCAACTGAGCAACGCATTTTCTGGCAAACTTTGATTTTGGCATCTGTGTGTGGTGGTCTTTCAATGGCCAGTTTATGGTAAGGTCTTGGAGAAAACCCTGGCCATGATACATGTGTGTCCTTACATAGGAAGCATCTTTCTTTCCATGTGGCCATTTTGAAAATGAAATCAAATAAATCCTAAGTGAAAAAAGTAGGGAGTTGAAAAGACATGGCAATCTCCAATACAATATGTAGTCCTATTGCTACGTCTAACCACACTTTGTTGAAGAACCTAAGCCATGACAAATCTAAGCAGTATCTAAATTTCTATTTGAGTTCTGTCTTCAAGGAGTTTCAGTCTTATGTTCTCCTTACAGACATGTCAATGCCTTTTAATTAATGCCCTTCTTATCAATCTGATGGTTAATTGAGTTAAAATATTTACTGGCTGCCATTAAGGTCTGAAGTCCTGACCTGTTCAGGGCAACATACAATAATAAACAAGATAATAAAGATGGATAAAGTCCTTAAAGAGCAATAAAAGCACAGAAAAGGCAGCCTCCCTGCCCTAACCACCCTCAAACAAAAACAAACACTCAACTCTAAAAACAACAACTGAAAGCATCTCAGGGGAAGCCTGAAGTAAAATCGTGTGTTTTCAGGACCTTCTTTAAAGTCTGAAATGGTGGGGCTTGGCAAACCCTCAATGGCCACCAATGGCCATCAGAGAAAAAGCCCTCTTTCATGTGGTCACTCTCACAAGTAGGCATATGATGAGGGTCTTTCCTGCTGATCTTAAAAGTTCAGGCAGTCGGAAATGGGTGAAGGCAGTTCTTCGGTTAACTTCATTTCTGGGCATCACAGTGATCTGGGTTTCCCTAATTAGGGCAAAGTCCAGGAGAGCTTCTAAACTACACGTATAGTATCCCAAGGGTACCACAACCTCATCTAAGACCAATTGTAAACCTCTACACAGAGCAGTAGATTTACCATTCCACAGTATCTCTGTCTTGTCTCGATTAAGTGTGAACCTGCTTACCTCATTCTTCCCTAAACAGATGATGCCCAGTTCTTGCCACAATGTTCAAGTTCATAAATCATCAAGGGAAAGCTCCTCATGGTTGGAAAGTAACCATTACGGTGCCAATTCATCAGAAAGTTTTGAAAACTGATCCAAAGAATTTTCACCTAATTTGCTTACTCAGTGTTATCTCTAAACTATACTGTAAATACCTACTGCACAGATTAGTCTTGGGCTGCTGAAAACTCAATTATTGCCAAAGAACAGGCTGGATTTCTTAAGGGCAAATTAGACTGGTCCACAACGTCTGTATGGTGCAAAAATATGGGGGTACACTAATCTGTCTATCCTAGAAGTATTTCAGAATTTTTTTTGAGATTTTTGTTAACTGTCCTGCAAGGCACACCTGCCCATTTTCTATGGGCAGAAACAGGAATACTCCTGATAGAAGCACGTGCTCATACTGCTCCTGCCCTACATTGGCTGAAGTTATCAACTATGAAGGATTCATCCATGCCAAAAACTATTTATTAGAACAACTGCAAATTCCAAAGCTCCTGGATAAATTCTGTAAGATCTATTCTACATATTTCTGGAGTCAGTACAGATGTTTTACCCTCCATTGTTCAAACAGTATTAAACTACTGTTTAAACAAAGGATCTACCTCTATTTTCAGCTCTGTAACTTGTACTGTACTATTTAAATGCCACACTCAATTTGGTATCCCATGTACAAAACAAGATTTGATCTGGAGCATTACTTTTCAGTTCTTACTGTTGCTCCTTTAAGAAGATATTTTATAGCCTTATAATTCTAGTTTATGCCCTCCACTTATTCGGGTGGGAGATATTATGATATCCCAACTCAACAACAACTCTATGAGTCAGCTGAAGTTGAGGACATTGGACTCGATCTACTTTGCTGCTTGCTGTATGAGGCTCCAAAGTACAGATTTCTCCATCATATCCTCAGTTCTCTATCAAATAGACCTTTGTTGGATCAGATTTGTATACTATTTGCAGGTACTGATGCATATATTCTGACCCAAGTTGCAAAACTTGCCCTGGCTGCTAGAAGAATAAGGACTAGGGAACATCCTGCAGTTTTATCCTAATTTCATGGATAAGGGTTATTTTATTTGTTCTCATGGAATTGTTGTGTGATTTTAATTTGGTTATTGTAATTATTATGTTGCTACTATACTTTTTATGGGGTTTTTTTGTATTTGAAATTGGTTTTTTTCGGTTTCTTATTGTTTCTCTTTTTAAAATTTGTGGTGGCCTGAGGCTATGAGCAATAAAGATATACCTGTAGCTAGGGATGTCTAAGGAATCTGTTCAGGGGTGGGAATCCATCAGATTCCCTGGGTTCAGCTCCCTGGACTTCTGTTTACTTTGCAGAAGTCCTGAGTACAATTTCCTGGAGGTTGTGCCCAGTCTTTGTGGGGCATGGACTACAAATTGAGGCCCATGTATTGCACAAGCAACACCTCTCTCTTGTGTCAGGTGCCACTGCCATTTGGACTGGTGCACCTGGCACCAAAAAAGTCTGGTTGTTAGGGGCTCACTAAGAAAGGAAGACTACGTGACCTAACTCTCTCTTGGGCCAAGTGCAGCCACCCATTTGATGCTGAATGAGTTGAATAAACAGGAATCCATGAACATTGATCGATTTCTTCCAGGCTCAGTTTGTTTTGGAAAACAGGGCTGAACACAAGAGGAAGCTAACAAATATTTGGAGGGATGCATTCTGAAAGGGTCTGTCCCAACCCTACTTGCAGCCACCAAAATTTGTTGTTGTTAGTCGCGAAGTTGTGTCCAACCCATTGTGACCCCTTGGACAACATTCCTCCAGGCCTTCCTGTCCTCTACCAGCCCCTGGAGTCTACTTAAACATTTATGGGACACCAAATGTGAAGTTTGTAAAATCCAAAATGCCAAGAAGGACTGCACACACTGCAAATTGTAAACAAGGCCATCTCATATGAAAAAGGGAAATCCATTGTTTAAGGGTCACCCACCTGTCCATCTCTGCCAGCTTTACCTGTATAAGCCGATGGCCCTGTTAGCTGAAATGCAAATCACTTAGCCAAAAATGTGAGGGGTTCAGAGCCACTACACTATTCAAATGAAGAATGAGGGCTGCAAGTGTTTGTTCTCCAGGTCCTGTCTGGATCTCAGGTTTGCAAAAGTGAGCATCTATTAATTTATTTTATGAGCCAGAAATGAATATGATGGTGAAATGGAAGTGGGACAAGAACAAAGCCCAGTGAGCCTGTCATTGATTTAATAGTATGGCAGTCTGGAAATGTTCTGAATGTTTATGATCAGTTTGCATGTCAATAGGATGTTCAGCTCCTTTTCTTAAATGTTCTTAAGATTACAAAGCCAACTTAATATGCAGAAGCTCATTTTCCCAAAGCTCTGCTTTGAAAGGGTTAATTTTGGAAGCAAGTATGGCGTTGGGATGAGACAGATGTGATTAATGAAGCTCTGTTATCACGCTGGTACCTGTCCGGTTGTGGGCCATGGGGGCCCAATCTAAGCCCTGTAGGGGTGAAGATAGAATGCTTGACAAAGTTCCCAGCAGGTGTGTAAATGGCAATTCTGCGCTCACTGGGAGACAATCAAGCCTTTCTCAGCCAGATGGTACAGGAGAGAATTCAGCTCTCTGCAAGTCCTCAGCATACTTTTTTGTTTAGTCTACTTTAGCATCAGAGCTTTTGTGAACGCACTGGATCTATTGGAAAGTATTTTTGTTTTTCTACACTGATACCCGTGGAATAAGCTGTATTTCTTGCTAATTAAAAAGCCCTTTGGATGGAGGGGGAATGAAATCCTCCCCCCCCCCCGCCGCCCCCAGAGTTGAAAAGCGGCAAATTGCATAACGGAGAGAAAGACAGAACTTTTTGTAGGTAAGGAAAAGATTTATCTTCTTTAATCTCTCCAAGGGCGAATAATTGTGCTGTGGAACTGAGTAATAGGGATCTTTCTCCTATTCGTCTGTGTTGGATTGCTGCCAAGAAGTAGCAGCCATCTTTCTCTTTGTTCCTGGGACCCTTGGACACCTGCCAAGCCTTTTTTATATATATAGAAATTTTATTAGGATTTTAAAACTAAAACTACCACAATTACACACAAACATCAAAAATATCCATTTAACATCTCTACAATTGTCTTACCTACTCTACTTGGTAATTGCGGTAGTGAGAAAGTTATTTACTATTAGAAAATTGAAAAGATTTTGAACTGTCCAGAAATGTTTAGATAAAACTTACCACTGAAGGAGAAAGAGAATATTCCAATTTCATTTAACTTGGAGATGCTTCCCTTTGACATTGCTCAAGAGAAACAGGACTTGGTAGGAAATGATGAGACTGATTTCCTGGATGAAGAAGAGGAAGATAGTGACTTCTATCCAATTTGGATTATTATCATTATTATTATTACTACTGTGTGCAACGATTGTTTGTAGTTTTAGTTTTAAAATCTTAATAAAATTTCTAAAAAAAAGGGTTAATTTTGGAAAATGATAAATGTAACTATTCCTTCTCTTCCTCCTCTTCTCTCACTCAGTCTAACGCATCTGTTGAAGAACATGGTGTTGTAGAATGGGCTCAAAATGGAACAATTTCTTTAAGACTTAAAAGGAATGCAGAACAATGGGGCTGATAGTGAAAAGATGATTTCTTACCTTTGAGCAGATTGATTAGCAGGGCTGCAAGCTAAGCACAGTTCGACAAGAATTTTCTGTACAAAATTGCAAAGCCGAGAAGCTAATTTTAGTTAGTATGTTGTACTCAATAGATCACAAGAGATGTCATGCATGAAGATGGAGTTTGCCTTCCCCCTATCTAAAAGTCATCACCAGATATTCAAAAGCACATATGTGGTGTTGGGAATGAGGGTGGCAGTTGGTCTTGGGATGCACTCCCAGGTGACACTAATCCGGACTCTGAGTTTGAGAATGTAGTACAGGAGGGAGAGGGGGTCTGGGAAAGTGAGCCACCAGAGTCTGAGATGAGAGAAGCGAAGGTACTTATCTCAAGGCCATTCTCTCCAAGTGCTCAGGCAGGCTCTTAGAATAACCAACGTGTACAGCTGTTGGGTAAAAAGTGATAAATTTTACTAAGTCATATGGCAATGACAAGCC